TTAACAACTTTCATGTGTTTGTAAAGTGAGGAAGAGGTATAGGTGGAAAGCCAAATTTAAATTTCTGCTCACAAATAGACAGGAAAGCGTGTCTTAAAATTTCAGCTTTCTAGCTGCTCTGGTTGCTAAGCTGATTGCAAACTTTACATTTTTTGTATAGTGCATCAAGTGAGGTTCCCAAAACTGCATTACTTCATCACAAATTTCAGCTTAACAAACAGTGTTGAAAAACTGGAACGGAAACATACACCTAATACATGCACATACAAACATGTAAATATTTTTTTGCTGCCTTCTGCTACATGTGTTATCCCGTTATTATATAGTGTAACTTCCGAAAAGCATCAAATTCGCTCGAGAAGCATCGAAGTCGAGTTCACTTCTGTTTTTTTCCAGAGTTATAACATTAGCGTTTGTTCGGAATTAATGTGCATTACTCAGTACCTAAGAGTTCTTGTTTTACTGACTTTTCCTACTCCTATAAAACAAAAATATGCCTCACTTTGGTGTTCTCCTGCTTGCTATAGCTTTCCTTTTACCAATGTTCGAAGAACGTAAAATCTTGCGTATTTTAAGCAACTGAAGCGCCAAAATAAGAAGGATGAGCATTTTTGCAAGGAGCGGCATGAATTGTTTCAGAAGCTTAGCATGTCAGTGCGTTGAGCGTTGCTAAACAAATCACTTGTTCAGGAGCTGTTTCCGGATCTGGTGCGCAAAATTTATCTTATCAATTGCCCGGCAATTATCGCCAGCATCTATGCGCTCGTGAAGGGTGTTCTAGCTGAACAAACTCGCCAAAAGATCGTTTTCACTGACCAAGACTGGAGGCAAACATTATGCGACGATCTCGGCAAGGAGAATATTCTGAGGCCCTGGGGCGGCGACAAAATTTCCAAGATAACTCCAGTTGGATCGATTCGAATGGGCGGAGATGTGCCCAAGCATCTCAGGTACTCCATACTGCAAGAAGGCTTTTCTCAAAAGCAGTTGCAATTGACCAGAGCTTCAGGTTGGAATTTCTAGCACATGGAGAATTTCCATTAGTTTTGCGCCTCGAAATTCCACAGTGTTATTGCCGGCAGATGGATTCCTTTAGTGATTCTGAAAAAAGTAATTTGCTCAGGCGATTTTGAGTCAGCAGTGTTACTAGAATTGAAATCGAATAACTCATAACCGGTTCCTCATCAACTGAATAGTGCCAAAGGCAGTA